ACCGAGATCAACGACGAAGTGAAAACCTGCATCTCTTTGAGCCAGTGGGGTCCTGGAGTGGCTACATGGGTCTTTCTGGAACCATCACGGACTGCAACTAAACACAAAGCTCAAAACGCAGTAAGCGATAATCCTGATGACGCTAGTATACGGGACGGAGATGTGAACCGTCAACATCAGCCAAGCCAAAAACTAAATCACATATACCTCAGCTGTTCTTGAAGGATATCAGAGCTGATATTACAAGACAGGAGCCCTGACACGGAAGCCCCGGAACAAACCAAAACCCCTAGAATCCACGCTACACTGGGACAGCTGAAATTGGGCTGGAGCGGCCAATGCACGGAATGGATGACGAACGCCTGCCCAAACTATTTCTTGTATCGACGTCGCTACAGATGCTCGCCGACAAAGAGAAAAACGGCTTTAAAACACACCCTAATGGGTCTCTTGAGGATCTACAAATCAGTCTGATGGCCCGGGAGAACCCTGCCCGATATCGAGCGTCCTGGTTGGGAGCATTGAAAACTGTAACAATATTCTGTGAGGCCAACCAGACCGACGCTGCCAAAGCCAGAACAGCGACACACAGGTCTGCAGTACCGCGGACCCTTAACCCTTACGCCTTACCCCATTCACCGTGTTCACTCTGTGAACAGACATTTATCGTTCAGATCATCCTTGTCGGACATTTCCGAACGCAATGAAGTGGCGATATGACAACTTTGCATACCACCCCCAAAAACGTTTCCACTTCCGCACTTATCGCAACCTCCACGATGTACACCACCACCACCACCACCGCCGCCACCACCATCACCACCACCACCGCCATCACTTTTAATGCGGACTATATCCCAACGTACCCTCACTGTGACCATACCTTTTCATCACGCGTCGGCCTAGTCGATCACGCGAAAATCCATCATACTGAAAACGGCGAACCATTGCGTAGAGCTTCCTCGTCTACCAGCTGCACACGCCTTACCAGTCCACATTGTTCACTCGCTTTTAATCACCACAGTGGCGAGAGAGGAAAGTCAGAGTGAGATTAACCCCAGGGACTACGTCCGCACGGTACTTCAGCTCATGTCCTCAATGTAGACGATCTGACACGCTTTTAAACTATGAAGACACGCTACGAGTTGTACATTTAGAGACTGTCAACTGGTGTGGTGATTCTGTCTTTCATAACACTCTCTCGAGTTGGGATATCAGTAGACCACTTTCCAATGATCAGGCACATTCTCATCCCCTATTGCTGAAATGAACCTGAAATGAAATACGAGAGTTTTTTCCTCTCTCTTCATTCTATACTGTGAATCTTTCTTTGTGATGCCTGCAAGCTCCGGTTCGATATAACTATTGTTACTTGTCACGAATTGACCACTACTTTCCACATTGTCCCTCAACTAGTATACGCATAAGACGAATTTTTTAAAGAATTTTAGTAGTACTGATAGAAGCCGGTGTTCAGCTGCGGCTAAAAAACTGCAAACAAAACGTTACAGTTTCCATGCCGGCGATAATCGTCCGATGGTTGTCACTTAAGAAGGTAGTTCTGGTAGAAATATTTTTCGGGATTCAATTGGATCTACTGGCGAGGCATTGGTTAAATGACATCCCATAGCCACATTGATCCTTTACTCTCAGCCTATAGCATAAACAACACAGGGACTTTTCCGCTTGCCTTTATTCCTGATCTATTCTGTGACCCAGTACTTCCGAGAGTGTCTTTGAATTGAATTCAATATTCTTCTATGTATGCTATATTCTCGGGGTTGGGGTCACCAAAGTTATTTAACTGATTGATAGTGGCATATGTGAGATACTGGTTTCGGAACAAACAGGATCCCGTGACTATGACGGTTTCCGGGTTGACTCACTTCTTTATTATTAATACTGGGGAATGTGAGTTCCCGTCGTTCACTTGCCTAAATACAACGCGCAGCCGTCAGTTTCCGTACATCCGTCCCTGAGAAAAAATGATTGGCAAGCGTCTGACACCTTCCGGGTTGACAAGTCGGCCTGCGTAAATTGGGAGCCGTCCCTCTAGGACATGGACTTTTAACAGCTTTTAGACTTAAAAACTCGCACATTCGATTACGCTTCTCATGCCTCTGTGCTGGTCTCTAGTCCAGAATTACAATTAGCTTCGCAACAGCACCCACTCTCATATGCTAAACTGACTGTGCAGTATCATTTGGTGCAATACAGGTTAATACTGGCGCATTCTAATGCGGTAAGTGCTTTTTAGCTCAACATTTCCTGCATGAAACAGTAGGTCAACCAACTTCGTTCGCCCGTTTACATCTCCCTCCTGCCTCCACAGCGGCAAAAATTGACTGGATTCGGACGGAGGACAGTACATTTTTGTACATCAAAATTTATCAAACACTGCTCTGACTAGTTCTGCAGTCGACGTGCGTTATTTTGAAGATGTATCTAACCCTCAGACGATTTGCCATAGCTTAAGATCATCGGCAACCATGATCTTACCACAGTTGAATCCAAGAGAACTGTCATTAATATATAAAATCAAAGGTGGGGTCCGAGCACTGACCGTCCGGAAACAACGTTTTCCACGTTTGCGCAGTTCCACTGATAGTCTCCAACAGATACATGCCGTTTTCGGTCAAGAATGAACGCACTTACCTAGTTCAGAAGATTTCTTCTGATGACAAGAATACTCAGTTTATGAAAAGACGCTGGTGCGGAACTTAATCAGAGTTGAGTGGCAGGAATGTCCTCCCAAAATCCATGTTGGAAGATCTGCCATAAAGCATTTCTTGATGAAAATTTTTAACTCTGTCAGCCACTGCGCTTGAGCCCGCCTCCGATCGTCCCTTTTCTGTCCTCCCCCCAGGCCCAGGTGGTGGGTGAGTGCAGCAGATGCTGCATAAGTCTGTTCTCGCAAAAACTAATTCACCCTCAAATCACCGTCATGTGCCCACAATTTTTTGGACATACGGTGGACATCGACATTAGCGATGATCAAACTGTCACTTATTAGTTGTTCAGCAGAGTGCGGTTCCGTGGCCCTGTCGGTCTGCGTTTGGTCTAACTCTCCCTCCTCCCAAGGTTTAATCGTATACGCTTTCGTCCCCCGTGCCTTAGGGAACTTTATGAGGCTGCATTAATTCATAAGCCTATCGTGGAAGTTTTTTGAGTAAAGGCCTGGACCTGAATGCATAAATGCTTTCGTAAATAGTAAATAGCGAATCAATCTTCGCCGCGACGTCTCCGTTCACTTTTGAAGGCATTGTTGCAAAGCACTCGACTTACGGGAAGTCAATCAACGAGTGGGCGCCAAAAATGATTTTTAAAGATCTCCGGAGTAATATGAATTCAAAAAAGTCACTACATTTCTCGTATGCGTCTCCTCAGAGCACATAAGGATACGTAGCATGTGCTCATTTAGGAAGCTACAAAATCTAAAAATTGTTTTTCTTCGAGTTCTTGTTCTCCACGCTAGGATCATACATTTTTCGCTTGCGATCCATTTCATCATGCGGTATCTTCTACACTATGGCAAAAGCTTGAAACTTCGGAGAAATATAAATATGGAATCAAATGCGAAGGAGGCCCGGCTGGCGTTGAGCTCTCTTTAATCCTTAGGGGACCAACTGAGATAAAGCCTCGTAAGCATTCTCCCAGGCCTCTCTCGGTGTCGATTTTAGCAGGATTAGTATACCAGTACCCTTTTGGTCTTGCCGAATATCAGAAGCAGAGCAGCACAAGTAAAACATTGCCGGTTGGATTGCGATCGCTATGAGGGACGACGTGATAGTGAGTCCGAAAGAGAGCCAAACAATAGAAGGCCTTTCTTTAATTCATACAACTGGACTTTGCCAGAGTCTCCTGATTTGTAGGGCTTGTCACGTAGTTAATTCGTTTTTACAATAAAATAGGCACTGAGAAAATGATGAATCTCACTATTCCCATGAAAGCGACAGGAGCTCCGCATATACACACAAGTATCCTGGAATCACCTGACAGTTCGCCGGTCGTGCCTGACGGTGTCCACCATTGGCTTCACAGCAAGGTGAGGCAGGCACGCTGACTTGAGTGTGAATTAGGTTATAGTGAGAGTGGGCTTGCGAAGTATCTACTGAACTCTCCCCCCCCCCTCCTCCCCACCCGGGTCCGGTATCAAGACATAGTCAGGAAAACCGGAGGTGAGGGAGGACGCAGGTGGCTGGCACGGCCGGACCTGCACCCAGAAGTACCAGCACACCCCTTAGTCCACAACAAACACGACCTAGATTTTAACCAACAACAACAGCACCACAACGGGTCAGAAGGACGACGAGGATGACTGGGCAGCCATGCTCACCACCTGTGTACCCAGCGGCAGCACAAGCTTATCCACCGGCAGGGAACCAGGGGCCATAGAACTGCCGGCGCACACCAGGCTGCAGAGCCCATGGTTTGCTGACCCTGGCACAGCCGGCGCCTATAATCCTGGAGGCCCAGAAGGGCAGCACTGCATTTGCTTGGGTCATTACCCTTAAAGGGTTGGGTAGCCAATCAGTCATCGACTAAGAGACGCTACCCATGTACACATGCACTCCTTACAGGCGTGAAAGTGCCAGAGGTCATACTGAGAAGGAGCCGTTGCAGCTCCCTGGTCCACCATTCCACACAAACACATACAACTGGGCAGACTGTGTGGAATGAGTTGAGAAGTCAGTCGGCAGCCTTCCAAGCCGCGGCGCTTGACGCACTCGATATCATTAGACTCTGATCTCAATACAGCTGAGGAACCGCATGGAGGAGCCGAGAAGAACATTTCGCGCTGAAGTGGGAGGCGTCGATTGAGTATTCGCATTGTACAGTCGTCGGTGATGCTTTCGTGTGGTGCAAGTGTTGGTGAGGAAAGGTGTGATGATATGGTTTAGCCGGCGATTGTCTGCCTAAGGTTTTTGTGAATACGCATGTGGCCTATCAGGCCAGTGCGGTGGCTGAATGTGCGAAGGCAGTGCGGACAGTTGAGGCGAATGCGTCTGACGTATGTCGGTGTTTCAGACACTGTTCGCCAGTTCTCGTGCGATGGCTTCGCAGGTGATCGATCGGGCCGATGTGAGTGGGGAATGTACGGAGACAGAGTGGGCAGGAAGGTCGGGGACGTCACAGTCGGTTGCAGTGGTGGTGGTGGTGGTGGTGGTGGTGGTGGTGGTGGTGGTGGTGGTGGTGGTGGTGGTGGTGGTGGTGGTGGTGGTGGTGGTGGTGGTGGTGGTTGGTGTGCTAGATAATGCAGTTTTTATTGAGTTAAGAATGTTGGCTGCGCAAAATGTGCTAGGTGTGTCGATGTCGTGGTCAATTCCGCTGTCGTGGATACGCATGTGACCGAATAGACCCATGCGATGAGTGAATGTATGGCGGCAGTGAGGGCAGTGGAGGCGGATGTGGCGAGTCTAGGTTGGTGCTCCAGTCACTAGTCCTTCAGTCTCTGTGCGGTATATTAGCAAGTGACCTATCAGGCCGATGTGTGAGGTGAAGGTTCGACTGCAATGAGGACAGGTATGGACCAAGTCAACATCGCCGGAGGTGGGTGTGGTGAATGTGAATGTGTGGGTGGTTTTCGGGGCGTCAGGAGCGTTTTAATCTTTGATGGCAACGGAGGTGTTTGTCCACAAGGAGAAGAAGATTCAATCAGTAGAACAAGAAGTTTATTGGCCTGACATTTCGGATTCGCACTAGAACCCACGGGTTGTGTTCGACGTCGTTGCGGTAGTTTAGGCAAGTTAGTGGAGGTGGTAGTGGCCAACGGCAGTGAGACACAGGGATTCAAGGCAGCATTGGGGAAGGTGGACGCCGATGTGGTCGACGTGGAGGTTGAGGCAGGCGCAATCGTGAAGGCAGCAACTAGCGCTGTTGGAAGGTTGATAGACTGACTCTAAAGATGACCGACGAGGCCGATCCGCGCGCGAAATGTTCGCTGACAGAGCGGACACGTTAGGTGGGGTTGTGTGGCGACGTTGCGAATCGGAGGTGTCCGAGACTTGCGATTAACCCTGTTGGCTTTGGTCGTGACGATCTGGCTTGCTTCATAGATGGCTGCTCCAGCCTTAACCTCTCTTCTCCAGGCCGGTCTTTTTTGGGCGAGGCCCTCCCATGTCTCTGGATTGCTATGTAATTGCTTAAGAGAATTTTTCAGTGTGTCCTTTTGACGTTGTTTTGGATCGCAACGGTCGGCGAGCAGCGGTGGCGACATCACCATAGAAGACTTGTTTCGGTAGACGTGTATTTTCCATCCTCACAGGATGGCCGCTCCAATGTAGTTGCAGTTGCCTCAGCACGGGATGAATGTTGAGGATCCCGATCCATCCAAGGACTTCCGTGTCGGGGATCCTGTCTTGCTATCTCAACTTTAGTATTCTGCGAAGGCAGCTGAGATGGAAGTAGTTGAACTTCCTGGCTCGAATGAAGTTGACGGTCCAGGTCTCTGCTCCATACAGAAGTGTTGTCGGGACGACGGCCTTGCACATCTTTAATTTGGCGCTCATTTGAAGGCCGTGGCGATTCCATATGGAGTTCTGATGCTCACCGAAGGCCTAGCTGGTTTTGGAGATCCGATAGGCCACTTCGTCGTCGGTTCTGCTGCGACGTGACATTGCGCTGCCTAGGTAGTTGAAGTTATCCACGGGCTTCCGTTCGGTGCCGTTGGCACGGATGCGAGGGACACTGCGTTCAGCGAGCGATGACCGTTGACCACTGTCTTGTCCGTATTGATGGCCAGTCCGAAGTGGGCGCATATGGAGGCACGTCTTGTTCAATCGTACTGTTGAGTGCGCAGCCGTCGGTTAAATGCAGATTGTGGATAGCAGTTGCGGAGGGACGCGCTAAGGCCTTCATTTGCCATCTGTCGAGAAGGTGCCCATCGGTCCTGTTGTCGACGCGAATCCCGGGACACTCATCACGGTCGACATTCATCAGTATGGCAGAGAACATGAGACTGGTGAGGGTGGGCGCGAGTACACACCGCTGTTTCATTCCATTGATCACCGTGAATGCCTCGGCGATTGCGCCATCGTCCGTGACGCGCGCCATCATTCCATCGTGGAGCTGACGTACCATGTGCGTGGATCGTTCAGGTCACTCGAATTTCTGCATGATTCTCCTCAGTCCTTCGCGGTTCACCGGACCAAAGGCTTTTGTCAGATTCACAAAGGTGGTGTATAGGTGAGCCCGCATCTTCTGACACTTCTCTTGTAGCCGGCGGCAAAGATCATGTCAGTGGTTGCTCTGTGTCGCCGAAAACCACATTGGCTTTCCGGCAGGAGTCCTTGTTCGAGGTGTCCATTGAGGCGATTGAGGAGGATACGAGCGAGGATCTTGCTGGCGATGCTGGTTCCCTTTGCGCTTGTACAGATGGATGATGGCTGGTCCTTGAAATCCCGTGGAACTTGTCCGCGGCGCCACATCTCCTGAAATAGCGCCGTCAGTTTTTCCATCAGGCGGTGACCTCCGTGCTTATAGATTTCAGCTGGGATCGCATCGGAGTCGGGTGCTTTACCGCTGGAAAGTTGTTGCACGGCGCGGATGGTTTCTGAGAGAAGAGGCTGGAAGCCAGGTCGGGGTTGGTTTCCACTTGGGGAGTCGGTCGATGGCGGCGTCAGAGATTTTGGAGAAACGGCTGGGGACGCTTCTGAATTGCTCGACACAGCGCTTCAGAATCTGCGAGTTTTCCGTCAGAAGCGTTTATCCATTGGAGCTGAGAAGCGGCGCGATCCCTTTCCTTGGGGACCGTCGATCGCTTTGATCGCAACGAAGAAGTTGTTTAACTCGTTGCGGTCGCCATATCCCTGGATCTCCCCGACCTTTCGAGCCATCCAGGCGTTCTGCATTTCTCACAACCGTTGCTGCGCAGGGCGGCAACATTGGTTAAAGGCCGCTTTGTTCGCACCGGTCGGACAATCGATGTAGGCCCCGTACAGCCTGTTCTTCTCGGTCAGCAGATTACAGATGGCTGCGTCGCTGTCGTCGAACCAGTCCCAGTGTTGGCGACGTGCATCATCGAGGACAGCCAGGGCGGTCGAGTGAACGGCGTCCCGCAGTCGGCACCATCGAGTTTCCACCTAAGCGTTTTCATCTGCCGCTGACAGGTTTTCAGGCCGCTGAGTCAGTTGATTGTTGAAATGTAGACTGTGAGCAGGCAGAGACAACAAAGCGGTATTCAGTTTGCCTGGGATCGCTTATCTTGTGGCCTTCTGCGGATTTGCGGACAGGCCTCATTTTGGAGATGAAAAGGCGTTGGTCCGTCCAGCCATCGGCGTCGCAGATCGCCTTAGTCAGCAGTAGGTCCTACCGATCTCGCCGCCAAACGGGAACATAGTTCAGCAGCCGCCAGCGCCACGACCGGGGTGCATCCAGATGGCCTTATTCCGCATCGGCAGGCTGAAAAGGGTGTTGGTCATGAGGAAGCGGTGTTCAGCCTAGGTTCCCATGAGGAAGAGGACACTGTTGCTGCGGCTGACGATTACGCGTGGACCAAGCACTACTCTTCAGGCAGCACAGTCTGTGCCGACGCGGACGTTGAATTCACCAAGAACAGTCAACTTATACGCCTTCGGCACACAGCCAGGAGGGCGTGCACGTCTTCGTAGAACTTTGTCTTCGTTCTTTCTAAGCCAAACATTGTTGGGACGTAGGCGGTGATAATGGTGGCGAAGTGGGATCCTTGAAGAGGCAGGCGCGGGCTCATCCAGTCTGTCGTTGATGCCCTGGGCAGACAGAGCAGTCGTACCACGATGTCGTTCCAGATGGAAAAGGCGACACCCGCGTTCCATCGCTCTGCCCCGGGGCGACCGCTCCAGAAGAAGGTGTAGCCGGCACCTACCTCCTCCAGTTAGCCTTATTCAGAGAACCGGGTCTCGCTGAGTGCACCAATGTCCACCTTGTAGCGCGTCAGTTCCCGGGCGACTAGCGTCGTGCTCCGCTCCGGTTTGTTGTTCCTCGGATTGTCTAAAAGGGAACGAACATTTCAGGCTACCGGAATGAGCGGACTCACCCTAGCAGCCTGTGGGATAGGACGAAGGGGAGGAGGGGAAGGAGGATAGAGAGAGTATTGTTTTTATTTTGAGGGTTTCGACCGTATGTGTAGCAGTTTTTAGGGCCACGATCTGTGCGCAGATTTCATGAACCCGGCTTTGCTTAGGGCACCTTTTATAGCCCCCTCCCCCTCGCGGAGGAAGGCGGCGCTGTCCCTCAATAGGGCTACTTTGTCGCACCAGACGGATGCCGCTCTTTACTATGGGTCACTGGGTTTAATGAGAAAACGACCAATGACCTGGACCGCCTACGTGATTGCATGTCGGCCTTCACGTGGACCCGCAGTTGGTCACCCCTGCACCCTCGAAATCACCTAATGTCGTATGCTCTGTATCTTCTGTGCTAAGGCTAGTTCAACTCAAAAACGTTCTTATGTTCGATCCTCAGCTCTCGTGTAAGTCAGCTGGATGAACTCCGATCCTTCATTGCCACATTCGTTTCCATTCATTTCCATTAAGAGGCATATTCTCTGCCCTATGTTAAGGTCCCTAAAATCTGCTGAGGAACGATCGATTTGACCTTCATTTCTGTTCCTTATGACCAAAACTGCGCTTCTAAGTGACCAGAGCCTGATGTCCGCAGCCGCCGAGCACAACCGACACTGGCCTGTGCAATTTTTAAACAAATGCTTTTTCCAAACGCGTTGCTGCAACTGGCCTATTACACCGATGTCTGCCCCCTGTCGCCTGTTCGTTTGTCAGCCGCGCACATTGTCGCAGCCGGACTGGTGACACAGCAGTGATTTCGCCATCGTCGTCCTCATCATCGCTGAAGTCTATGTGCGTGTGTATATGCGTGTGCACGTGTTCCAGCCTACGTATGCTAAGTATGCGGATTCTGGCACTAGCGCGATTACATACGTCATTGCTGCTGCGGGCTTCCGCGTAATTACGTGCTATGCATTTGAAAAGCGGAGGCTTGACACAATGAGACGTGGAATCAGATGAGGTCCAGAGACCGCGAGTTAGCCTTCTGAGCCGGCTTGTCATTTATAGAGGTCATCAAACATGAAAAACGTGAAGAAGAGGGTCAGCGCTGACGAGCACTGGCCCTTGTCCTGTGCGCGACGGGAGACAACTGTATGGCGATGTGATGGGAAGTGGAGCGCATATACAACCCTCAAATCATGGGACCGGCTGATACACAACAGACGACGTGCTCCGGTTTCCATATGCCATAGCCCGAAGAAAGCTATGTCCTGTTCCTAAAACTGGAGATTAGGGCAAAGTACCGTTTATGCAAGCACGCCCAAATTTTCTCAGTGATGCCATCCTTTGCCTCCAGTGTGTTTTTTAGATTTGGCGCACGGCGCGCAAGCCGAGACTTTACAGTTCTTTCGATTGACGATAATGGCCTGCGTCTTTCTGGGAAAAGGAAGTGCGCGTCCTCCGAGTGCCTTTAAGAATGGCAGTTATGGGGTAAATTCATAACCACTCCAATTGCCAAATAACCGTTTTATCTCCTTCAAATGAGCCTTGCATGAAAGACCTCACTTTTGTCTGCTATCGACTTCTTTACTGGTGGGCTGGCTTGCCATATGTCGATGTCTTTAATTGAGGAGCATCAGTAAGTTGTATGTAAATACTATAGTTGAGGTAACGAGGGCATGGAATTTCGACCCCTCAACTTTGATGAGACTGCCCAGAGGAGCGGCCTGGAAAGTTGTTCGCCGAAAAAATAACACTCCTTCCCTTGAGACGAGGATCAGACTGCAGTGACCTCTTACTGTGGCCATTATGGCATCTCTGACTCCCATCAGATCTGAACCCGTGTGCAACAGGAGTTAGACGGAAGCCTTTGCGTCACGTCAGCCACTACGCCCAATCTCGGAATAAACCAGTAGTGTGTGCACGAGAGAAAACAGCGAGTGGTACCGAGCCAGCTCGGAATAGATGCCCAGTACCCCAGTACCTCACACAGCAAGGCAAGTGCAAGAGGCCTGGACGCCTACCGACCGCTCTGTCAACCGCCACATCAATTTGCCTCCCCACGATCTGACTTTACGTACCTTCTCAGCGGGGGACAGTCACGGCGCGGGACAATCGGGGCCGTCAGTCATCTCCGCGGCCGACGGGGGCGATTCAGGTCACGCTGGCATGCGGGTTGGATGCAGCCACACAGGCGGCATTGGCGGATCACGCATTGAACAAAGGGCGCCATTATAAGGGGAGATGTGCACAGGACTTCCCAGTCTCTGAAGATGGGCAGACGAATAAACTACTCGAAACGTCGGACCTCAAATAAACCCCTCCCGGTGAACGTCCCCTCTTCTTTTGAGACAAATTTGTATTTGCAGAATGGTATTACCGACAAAGACAAGGGAGACTGGAATGACCATTTTTGGCTTATTAGCCGTCGTCAGCCAGCCATACCCAAGCCCGAAGTGTGGAACACCCGAGCCTTGTATTTGAATTATGAGGATTCACCGAAGGTCGTGGCTTGGAAAATTGTCAACTGGCAGAATAACTCGGTCCTATTCAGTATTCAGACTCAGGCAGTAATGGCTCCATTTTACTGGGGCCTCAGTGGGATCATTAATAGCGTGAGCCTGATGTGCGTGGATTCCGGGACCGAGTCGTGTGCAGCACGCATAGACAGGTAGCCTAGCTTCGTCAACCACCATGCCAACGGCCGCGTTCGGTTGTTATGATTGTGGCTTGCCACTGGAAAGCCACGGGTGTGGACAGAGTTAGGGTGAACTTGGTGAATCGCAAGCCCATTTCCCATTAAACTACTTCAAACTCAAGCTACTGCTGCGCCACCCAGTGAGGCGTTGGTGAGTCTCGTCGCATGAGGTGACCGAAAAATCTGAGGGCTGAGGGCGGGCTACCAGTGGGGGCGCAGCATTGCAGAAGGTGAAAGCTGGAAGCTGCAACTCTGAATTTTCGAGATCCTCACAGCATCATGCAGAAAAATGTTTATAAAAATCCACTCACTCTCTTTGTTAGTACATGACACAGTTTATGAATTAGCCAACACAGTTGGAAATATGCATCAATAAAGACTTGAGATTCACATTTTTATTTAAGGCCAGTTTGCCATCCTAAGCCATCAGCACGCTCAACCAAGCCAGAGATATCCGAGACATCCTCAGTCTGAGTTTGGGGATAGATCCCTCTTGAGGTCGGCTGAGCGCGAGCCGACATTTTTAATCGTCCGCACTTTCGATCGTTCTCTCCTCCCCCCCCCCTCTACTACACTGAGGGCAAGTGCACTCGGCGCAATCGCATTGAAGTCTCTAGGCGGACCGGACCATTGAACGCTTAAATTACTTTTTCACAGGCATGCTGTGCAGGAAGGAATACAAATGTGGATGCCTAGCACTCAAGCAGGCGCATTAATATGCAAAAATGGCTGCTGAGTGAGCGAAAGAGTGGCGCAAAACATAAAAAAGGCAATTCTGAAACAGGCAAGTTAGTCTAAACAGCACAGACATTGAAGGGATGAGCTCAACTGAACCAGTGCTTGGAGAACCCCTCAGATTAAGACGAGTAACCTGCCACCGAACTGTCCGGGATAAAATGCAGGCCATGGCACCTGTATACGTTTGAAATGAGCTCTCGGGGCTGGCGACACCAGTGAGTAAGACTCGAAAGTGGGTGGACATGCGTGAGATAGGTAAGGGGCGGGAGGCAGAATGCCTGATTAGCCCCTACGCCTACGCCCACCTCCAGTTATTCCGCAATTCCATGCCAGAGGATTATGATGTGTGTGTGTGTGTGTGTGAACGGAGAGTTAAGCGGGTTGTGCGAAAATGCCTGTCACCGTAATAAAACGCACAAGTATGCCACCACTGTTAACCCGATTAGTATTAACCCTCACCATGTTCAGGTGATGAACCGTCGTATCATACGAAGTTTGCCAGAGGGAGCAGCACCCACCAAAATCAGTGGTGACTTATATGTCAACCTTGACAGTCAAAGAATCGTTAAAGGCGATGATAGCAAAACGGTTGATCAATACTTTCGATCTGTCTGTTTAGCAAAGAAAATACTCCAAACAAACGTGGTGTTGTTCGTCATGATTAATTTATCTCGCTGTTTTATTTGGTCCTGTCATTGTAAAAAAATAGCGAGTTCTCCTCTCTCGCCTTAGGGAAGAGACAGATATGGTGAACTCCAGTGAAGAAAGCCAAACGTCAAAGTGAGAGAGACACCTGTTGTGTTTATTTAAAATTGTGCGCATCAGCATTTTAGCGATTTTACCACTAAAAAGGACCACGATGTGGATGCGCTGGACTTATACGGGGGCTAGATCGGGATCCGGCAGGCGTTATTGGGAATTCTCACCCGTAACAAATGCCAATTCTGAGGGCATGGTGACAGACTCGGGTGCAGGCGCACGCCGCGTCAGTTGGAATCCTAGCCACCCCCTTTCCCTTTTTATATAAAATCTTTGACAGTGCCCGCTATGGATCAGGGAGTGTGGTGCTACGTCCAGGTGCAGGTTTTCGCCGTGCCAGTCACCTGCACCCTTCCCTGCTTCTGGTATTCTTGATGTTGTCGTGACACTGGGTTCAGGGGAAAGAGGAAGAGAGAGTGCGGTATGTACTGCGCAAGTCTACTACCACCAGTAGAAGAATCACGCGCAAGTCACCGTGCCTGCGTCCACTCCCTGCACCAGTTGCCTGACAGGCTCGGAAAGTCGACTGGAGCACGAGAAAGGGAGGAATGAGGCCGGCACTGGGGAAGCCATCATCGGCGCATTCCGAAATTTAATAAATCGGACGCCTGAATCTGTCAAGTCGTAGTTTGAAAAGTTGCCAACTGACGGGACAAATCGGTCCTCCTCTCAGGACAGAGAGTCAGGCCGCAAGGGTTCCTCCTTAATGTGGCCCCTATGACACCCCGATTCAGTTGGGATCCAAACCGTCTCGCCCCCCTCGCGCGCGAATCAGGCGTGCTTGGCACGGTTAGACGAGCTGTCTAGTCTTGTCCTCCACTGAGCCCAACACCGTCCCCCGTCTTATTGCTTCCGCCTTGACACCACGCTCAGATGAGTGGACGGGGAGAGAATGGGGCAGATGCGGCGCAGATTTATTGTCACTATTGTCCAACTAAGTCCTGCGCATGTCACCGTCCTTGTGCTAACCATACTGCAGGGCACACGGAAATCATGGTTCATAACGATTGCACTGTCATATACACGATAAAATGCCTTTACCACCATCCCTTCACGTATATCCAGCCGCTAATTCAACAGTCTCCAGTTTGCCGCGGTTCATGACGTAACAATCCACTCCATAGGAAGCTTGAAACGCAATTTTAGTAACATGCTCTCCGGATCCCACTTTTGCCTATCCTTCGCTTGGAAAGGAAAGTGAGCCTTTTGGACATTGCAATCAGACGTAAACCCAATTTATTTTCACCATACAGTTCTCCATGCATGGAGGGCCGTCAGGGTGTTATCACTATGTAGCGTGTCATTTGTGCTGTGCGATTCAGTTACTGTGAAAAGTCACTGTTTTAGAACGCTGACAAACGAGTATATTCTTCAGGTTGTGTTAACTAGGACAGATGCCATCAAATATATGTAAAGTTCCCCGGACATTGTGTGACAGTCATTTCCTGGTTTTATCATTGCTAACTGGTTTATACTTGAAAATTTCAGTAGGCCATGGGAATAAGTACCCCGTATTACGGCTGGCCTTACGCGAAATTCCATTTGGGTTAGGGTTGGTGTTAGTTTCGTCGTTAGGATGATCGGGGTAAGAAAGGTTAGCTTTGCGGTTAGAGCATGTTGTTAAATCTGGGTTCCTTAAATGCCTTCATAGATTTGAGGGTTACCAGCCGACCTTAAAAGAATACACATTGCTAGGCCACCCTAGAACCAAGAAAATTTACCAGTTAAAAGGCACTCAAGATCTATATGGGCATATTGATTTCAGAAATAATGCTTGCAAAACTTCTCGTGGGCCAATGATAAACAACATTTTGCCTGCCTCGTTGTGTTCGTGTGAGCCAAGAAGGCAAACTAGGACTGAAGTATTAATGAAGTTAGTTGTAGGCTGTTTGGGAAATCTGCATGAACCACTCTCTGACTTAAGGCTCAGTTTTTTGTATAATTTATCCCCCTATTGAGATAATAGAGAGGAGAGGTAGATTGCAACAGAAACTTCCTACAACCGCGACGGCTAGGGCGTGACTGAATACCAGGTATTTCGTCGTGTTACCTTAGGTTGACACGCATGAAACCTCCTGCTGTACTAAGCTCACAGAACAACACCGGAGGAAACTTTTAACTGGAGTTTAGGATCAGGAGGTCACATTGTTAAAGCGCGACAGGACCACCAGCTCTTAACCAGGGTCCAGGACAGTTACACGTTATAAAACCAGAAGTCAAATGAACTAACCTACTCCCACCCCCATCAAATCTTTCCCTGACTCCCACTTGAACCGGTGCGAACCTTTCTGACGGTAACACAGGTAGATGTCGATCTGTCAAAATAGCTCAATCAGAGTAAGGCGAGAAATAAAACCGACACATAAATTTAGCGCAAGGCCTATTCTAGTGTTCAAGCAATTTTTTTTGCTGTCGAAGAACTCGATTAGAATCAGCCTTAGCAGTTCCCTGATAGAATTTTATGTACGACTCCCTCCTCCCCCCCCCCGTGCAGGGCAAAAAATGTAAGGTAGGAACACATAAGGTTTACGGTTGGGCTTGCGGCCAGGGTGGTTCGGACTAGTGTTTTGGTTCGAATGTGGGGCGCTGTTAGGCTTGCTTAGAGGAAACGCTTGGGACTACAATTATTTGAAGTGAACGCGGTTAGGGCTAGCGCTAAGATTAGGGCTAGGGTCAAGACTAGGATCAAATAAAAAAACTAAGCACCTAAACCTTGCTCCAAACCTTATTCAAATCCTAACCCGGACCATAAATAATTGCCATAATGCTAAATCCAAGCCCTGAACCTAAATCAAAAATTGAACAAAATAATCGGGGTATGATTCTTAGTCGGTTCTTAGGAAAGCTTCTTAACAAGCGGTATAGTTAACCTATGAATAATCCACGTTCAGAAGTATCGCCGTTAATTGCTCCTCTTTCTCATACAGGCCGGATATTTTAAGATCAGTGGCCTTTGGCCGTTATTCTCACTAACTACTAGCCATCCTTCTTCCCACCTTTTGCAAACGTGTCCCCCGTCAGTATTTATTATCTCTTGAACCCGACTGATTTGGAAGAGCTGCCTGAAGGTTGTGGTCACTCACTAATGTCCTCGTACACAACTATGCCTAATGCAAAACGAGGCTATCCAAATCCCTATGGCAAAGTGTCAACTTTCCCTGTTACGCAGGCGGCATATCTGCTGCCAGTACTGGAGGGGACGACGTCGTAAATTATAACATAATTCTATTATCCATAACGCACATCCATCCAGGGGATTATATTCTGTCCTAGTACACTGGTTATGGACTTAAGTCATTCACGAATACAGGCGAAAGTTCGAGTTCCAGATGTGTGCATAAGTGAAGAAGAGGAGTCGAGCACCGGAACATTTTGTTTATTGTTCTGAACTTTCGAACTCATGATGGGCTCCTGCACGAGTCCAAAAGCTCAGAATAATAAACAAAATGTCCCAGTGCTCGATCCCTCTTCTTCTTTTTCACTTAAGTCATTAGTTTTGCGCCTCTGGATCACTCTAGTAGGGTCAAGCTCATCATAGACGACCACTTCAGAACAGACCAATGGGCTTGAATTTTGCTCCTAGAGGTTCTTCAATATCCAGCTGGAACAGATATAGACACGGTAATCATACAGCTCCTATTCTTTGCCGTTGATCCATTCAAAAAACCTTGTCTTCAGTGAACGGCGTCGTGGACCCCACTAATAGGCCTGTTTGGGACCTCCCTTCGAGCCTTCGTTCACTTCGTTTCCGCAGAAACGGTGCCAAGGAACGACTCTGCAACCCCATGGGTCTCACAACAACCGTGCGTGACTGGAGGGCAGAAGAGACGTAAAAACACAAGAACGTACCCTTTAGTAGAAACCCACGCCGAAGAGCACCCAGAAACGCGTGACACAAGGTTTGGTGGATTTCTATGCTGCGCAACTCCCCCAAGTGTCATTGCTTCCCTACTCTTGACTGGCGTCGACGAGGGAGGGTGACTATTTAGCCCTGAAAACGATGTTTTCGAGGCAATTGAAAATGACCCTTTACAGCGTAGATCCTCCATCTTGTACAACGCCGAAGGAAACGGATTCACACATAAGGGACTGAATGAGACAAATTAAAAGTTTCTAGCCCAAAAGTGATGCTCACAAAGAGAGGCAAACTGGAACGGCTACCCCCGACTTATTTTCATTTGTCATCCAAGATCGGGTATCGATTTGACGGTAGAAATGGTCATTTCAGTTCCCATTTCCTTCTCTGTAACACTGCGATTATTGATTCATCACCGCTACACTACTGCCTGCGACTGTTAGACTCCAAGAGTAAAACTGACTCATTCATGTTCCGTTTTACAATCAGGATAAATCGATAAACTCCACTTTCATGAGATTGCAACTTTTTAGAGCGCCAAGACCGGAAGTCGTCGACTAAATTGGTGGGTGGTACACAATTGAGTCTAATCTATTGACAGTCTTGGCTTGATGGCGTTTAGCACTCATTCCTTGAATAAGTCTCCATCAGCTTTTCCTTAGTGGATCTTTAGGCTCTGGTAGAAGGACGTATTCTGATGAGATCTGAAATGAAGAAGAAGAAGAAGAAGTAGAAGGAGAAGAAGAAAAAGAAGAAGAAGAAGAAGAAGAAGAAGAAGAAGAAGATGATGATGATGATGATGATGATGATGATGATGATGATGATGATGATGATGATGATGATGATGATGATGATGATGATGATGATGATGATGATGATGATGATGATGATGATGATGATGATGACGGAACCACTGGGGCAGGAATCTTGTTCAGCTGACGTTTCAGACTCACACTTGAGGTCACCAGCAGCGACAACGTCGGATAAGGGTAGTGGATGCACAAGGGACGCAGTATTTATAGGATGCAGCTGCTGCGCGATTACATGCCTACAATAATTGGCAGTGTCCGCACGCATTGACGACGGCCGTGCTTGGTACGATGATGGCTTGCGCGTCAGTATCTGAGTCGTTAATCGCTGCAATTCAATCATCAGTGTTTATCGCTGGCTTAATAATGACTCGGCAATTTGGCGTACCGATACTGAAACTGGGAGCAGCGTTTGCCGGTGCGGTGCCCGCATGACTAATTACTTCGTCCAGACAAAGTTCCAGCACTAAACACGAAGGAGTAGGTCAATGCGTTGCCTCCGATGGTAGATTCGATTATAAATCCGAAGTATCAGGCCAGCAAAGTCCTGTTCCCGCAGTTGTTTCTTCTCAACTCTTCCTGCGACTCGTTTTTTCGTCTCTGTTGACGACTGGATGCTGGTCTAGGGCCTCGAGGGATGGAGTTCCAAAGATCAGCCTTGTTTGGAGCAAAAACGTTGGATTTGGTCAAACACTAGCGCAAGATACTCCTCTTATACTTGAGCAATCTGATTAACTACCAGTAGGCCTTTGGTGTAAGAATGGACAAATGGTACACCCCTGGAGGACTGTCTACGAACTTCTGGATGGCATAGGAGAAGCTGTATAGACATGGAAGGTTTCACAACTGGCGGGAAATCCCAATTTTCAGTATATGTGAGGATAACGAACCGTTGAAATGCAAGATATACTTTTCATGATAAAAAAGACCGCTTCATCCCTCTCCCTTTTCACTTGGCTTTCGTCTTTGAAATGAAAAAAGTGTTTCATCAAGAGTGCTCACTCGAAGGCACCTGGTTTGGGAGCCAGAACAGATTCTGCTGTCTGCGTACGCCTAATGAGAAACTTGTTGACATTGCTTTCGCGGCGGCTCAACCCTGCGCTCGTGCCAATGTAACAGGGATTCGAAATCACATACTGACGCTCTTTTCGCAGAAAAATTGTGACGCGTGAGGTAGGGTGTGAAATATAGCGTTTCGGCAGGCACGCTCATAACTCACTTCTTGGCCCTGTTGAAATCGAACGAGCGGCTTTCCGCGTCTTATTCAAGGAAGACTTACTGCACTTCCGAGGTAAGCATCCACTTCCGGTTGTATCCACTTGAGGCTTTATCCTTCTGTCACGGTCATATACCCGTGCAAAGAATCGCGAGGCTAGAGGGTTTCGCAATCGGAAGACAGGGTCAAAAATGTTCAGTAAAGCAGGGTAAACTGGCAACTGTGAAGTCTACGTATGTAATACCGAAGAAAACGAGAGGATTGATGTGGGCATTTCTGGTTTACTTACCGTTATCATAAAGTTGCAGCCCAAACCCTGGCTGAAAATACCTGATAAAACTGGAACAAAGTGTCAGTTTCGCCTTAGACTTCAACTACTACGGTAAAGCAGGCCGTCCATGTCAACTTTAATTGTAAAGTTACAGCCAACAGGGCAAGCACCCGTGACTAAAATGTTGGTGGTTTCACTGGATGCTCAGTGACCAGTCTGCCTAGGGCTGGACTACGGCTGTCTGATAACTGCAAATAAGACAGAAAAAACTATTCCTGTCCTTTTCAGCCTTTGTTGGTATGACTCCTCGAGCCATAACTACTTGCCGCCTGTTGGGGCTGCAGAGTGGCTGTGTAGTAGCCCTGCTCCGAGCGCCTGTCACAACATTGCACCTCCCGCGAGTGTGCACGTGCGCGCCAGAGCTGTCTGGCGTTCGCCCACTCGACCTTCCAACTTGCCAATCAAATTTCAGGTCGAGTTGGACATGCCCTGGCTTAAGACGCTTTGGCGCATCCCCTGGCTGATTCTCAGGCTCCCGTCCTCACGGCGCCGGAGGCACTCTTCTCTGGATGCTAACTCCTTCCAGTCTCTTCTCCAGTTTTTTTTGTACGGAATAAATAATCCTCCCAACTGGCGTCCATCTTCTCTTTCCATTCCGGACCGGGCATGAAGGTCGTGGTATCCTGGGTCTCATTCCCGGCCTAGGCGCGCATATTACCGCAGACTGATTTCGAAACGTGAACTTTTACAAATCCTGCTGGTCGCGACATCCGCTTAACATTGCTGAACACTTAAATAGACTTCCCTTTCAGGCTTCCGGGAGCAGATGTTGTTAGATTTCGAAAAACATGTTTTGTCTTTATCAGCAGTGAACATGGAGGCAGGAGGTCATCACGCTTGTTGATAGACTGGAGGTCAGAAAATCACGATCCGAGCGGCTCGTGGTTGTTTACGTGGCTGTCAGCTCTCGTGAGGACCTCGGCCTCGTCAGAGTTAATGGCGTGGCCGAGTCCTACCGAATGAGCCACGACCTCAGGGCCGGTGTCATCCTTCCCCGCTGTTGCTGCATGTTCGGCTAGCCCCGCCAATAGTAATTTTCTAGTTTCTCTTGCCAGCAAGTGGGCCAGATCTGGTAAACTTTGAAGTCGTACGACGTGTCCGTGAAGACATTCCTATCATTAGAATGTCGATCCAGATAAGGAAAATAAGCTGACAAGTAAGCAGACGATGATATTAAGAGGGGTGGCGATCAGCAATGAGATTATAATTCCAACAGTCACTACGCAAACATTGCATTTATGTACCAGCTGCATCTTCAGCATCAGAGAAGCAGATATTTCACATCCGAATCGATTGTCAAGTAGAGTTTGGACAGTCGTTGGGTGCCCGGCTGTGTTTTTGTAGGGGATTCTGTAATGCTACTGTGACACGATAGAAATTCGGCACAACCAGATCCTTTTTAAGGAAACCCATACGAGACTTAACCCGGTGTGCTGAATTTACATCCCTTTCATGTGCATATGCTTGCGTTTAATCTGCTGCTCTATGGGGTCGAAGATTGGTCAAATCAGACGGAGCAGTATGTCAGTGGATTCAAATATCTGAAAGTATTTCTGATTGCTTTGGGAGGACCAGGTCGCATTCAGTAGGACAGACAGAATTACTATGCCCCTGCTCCTGTGAGAGAACAACTTCGTTCACATCACACGCTTAGTAGCTGTGCCCAGTCGCAGTTCTCTGTAGTCAGGACTGGAGCAACCAACTCCAGTCAATTTATGCCGCATGTCCTGATTTCTTGTTGAATTATAAATTAGTGTTGGTGGCCCTCCAACAAGCAACTGCCAGTAGGCCAATTCATACCACGGCCAACCTCCGCCCTCGCCATGCCTGCTCTTTGAAAAATTTACAATTGTGTGCGTAAAAAATAAGCACTCATAAGAAGCGATCAAATTCATTCTCAGACAACGTGCAGCTCATTAATTCTTGGCTGAGATATTTGCAGAGATTCAGACTCCACTGCGCATTCGGCCGTGTGAAAATGCCTCTTGAATGCCCTCAGGTGTCTCATTATGCTACCGACTATAACGTTGTTTATTCCCAACAGGGCTATCAAATTATGTCCGAGTTTTAACTGACATTTCAAAAAGGGATAAACATTCATGCTAAACAAGAGAAAGCCACCTAGGATTTCAAAAAGGCGACGATCGTCCATCTCTACAAAAGGGAGCCGACAACTCTACGATAACCACAGGGGAATCTCGCTGCTAAGCCTCGCTGGAAAGACCTTCGTTCGCATCCTTTTCAATCCTCTCAGCAGCCATCTGGAACAGGGACTTCCCACGGAAAGTCAGTGTGGCTTCTGATGCGTCACCGCAGAATTACTGGCATGATCTTCGCCACCCATTACCTACAAGGAGACGGCAAGAAGATGGTGACCCACCTCTACACCACCTTTGCGGATATGTGGAAAGCCTTCGACACGGTGAATCGCGATGGACTCCGAAAAATCATACCGGAATTCAACTTTCCTGAGCGATTCATGCATACGGTACGTCAGCCCTACTACGGGATGATGGCGCGCGTCACGGACAACGAGACCGTCTCAGAAGTATTCTCGGTGAACAACTGAGTTAAGTATGACTGCGTACACGCTCCCACCCTCTTCAGCTTCGTGTTCTTTGCCGTACTGATCGAAGCTTAGTGGGCACTGTCCCAGTGGCTTAGGACAGTTCGGTGGGACCTTATAAAGCACACGAAAGGTTTTGTTGGGGTTCATACAATGCCTTCCCAGAGTCGAGAATCTATGAAAGAGTGAAGCGGCCTATGCCCCTAATTTCGCTTTTCCCCGACCATATCGGAAGAAGCTCACATATCCTTTTAGATAGACACGGACTCCTGCGACCAATATGACCTACTTCATAGAAGCAAGTATACAAAGGTGTAAATAGACATTGAGGTGATATGAGCTGACAACCTATCCTTAACCCCTCCGTGTAAAGTAGGGTTAGTGGAGAAGAATACCTGAGTTCTTGACTCTGATAAGGTTCGAGAAATATTTTGGTCAGGACTCCCTCTCAGGAATTCACTCATCGCGTCCCCTTGAAAGTGGACTTTTGGGTGAAGAGTTTTCTTTTCCGCCGACTGGGCAGCCATGCTCACAATCTGTATACCCAGCGGGAGCGTAAGCGCATCTACCGGCAGGGAAACCAGGTGCCAGGGAACCGCCAGCGCACCTTAACCTGCGAGAGCCACTGTCCGCTGAATCACGGCATAGAAGACAATCACAAATCTTAAGGCTCATGCATTGGTCTCTCAACTGCCGTTCACCAGACTTGATTTAGACACTAGTTCGATAACAAAATTTTTACATTCGACGGTAGTTTGCCAGTCCTAGGTAATATTGGTAGTTAGCTTTGATGGTCCGTATTGCAGAGCACTCGGGGAGCCGCAGAAGCACCGTCTTCCGAACTTACGTTGACAGTGGGGGCAGATCTGAGGGGTGAAGTAGACTCGAGCATTGGGACAAGAATACTCTTCGCCCGACGTTTCGAACTCATTCTCGGACCCGGCATAAAAGACAGTAAGATGTAACGGTAGCGGAGGCATACAGGAACTTTGGCGACATTCATTAAGCTACTGCATA